GGTGGCGCTGCTGGCGATGGAGTTTGGAAGAGTGGAAGTGGAGATGGCGTGGAGTCAGTTACTGAAGTTTGAAAAAATTAATAAAAAAACATTTTCTTTATGTACTTAATGGTTAGGGTTAGGGTAAAAACCGGTTTGAGAAAAATCTCAAACCAAAAACCGAACCGGTTTTTCGGTTTTTTAAATTTTACAAATAAAAAACCGAATCGGTTTTTGGAAAAACCGGATTTCCAATCAGGTTTCCAGTTCGGATCGGTTTTCAGATAATTTCTCCCACCCCCTATTTCTGATAGCTATGGATGAGATGAGATTACCCTAGTTTACACTATTATACGGCCTAGAGGAGGTATCAGAAGTTTTTTATGCCCTGCAACATAAGGTAAATAGCATTCCAATATGGTCAGTATTAGTTGTGTATGTTGCACTGATTGAAGTTGAATACCTATGTGAGCCATCTTGATTTGGTTAGTCTTAAACTAAGATGAGAGTTCTTCTTGTCTTTTGTTTAGCTGAGAAATGACCCTTTATATCGCTTTGATTCATTTCACATCCACATCGAAGATATCCCTAAGTGCTGATGCTGTACACAGAAAATTCTGGTATGGTTTTTGTCATTATATATATATAATATGATGACAAAAACCACACCAGAATTAACTATATATATATATCTCTATAGAGTGTTTGCTTTATTTACATATAATTAAAAGGCTTTCATTTATATCTCTCATATAAATACTTTATTTACATGTATTAATTATGAAAAAGAAAATATACATTTTCATCAACGGTATAACAGTAATTAACTTGTTTTACATTAGTTTCTGAAATAAAACCTCAAATGCTAATACACTGATGATTAATTTATAATTTAAAAAAAAAAACAAAAAAAAAAAAAGGAAAACAAAATTACTCGGGGATGCTCTTGAGGACTGCATGACTACTTGCGCAAGGAGTCGACTCAACACTGATACGATTCATTGGTATTTGAACAAGCTCCTTAGCTACATCTTTGAATCCAAGAACTCCTCCCTCTTTACACTTGGACAATAATCGAGCTGCCTCTTTCTTTGTCATGGTAACTTTTACTCTGATCACCCCTTTCTCTTCAATTGGTTTTGAACTGGCGAAGCAAAAATGATCATCCTTTGGTTGGTTTGGTGATAGTTTCTGCTTCTTGTTCTTGTTCAAGTTATCTCTGTATATGAAGTTCGCAGGCTTAGGTTCCCTGTGCTCCAATATTTGATAAGATAATTGATCTCTGTTGAAGAAAGACACAAAAGAGCTCAACATTTTGATGGAGAGATATTAAGAAAGAGAAGAAAACTATAGCTATAGTGATAAACTGAATACTGAGAGGTGATTGAGCAAGTGAAATGGGGAGCGGTATATATAGAAGCTTGGAGGGATGCAGGAATTTTTTGATATGAAGAAAATGCCAAGAGATGGCCAGGAAAAGTGTACAAGACGACTAAATAGTGTGCCGTATTGATCACTTTGGAACATTATTTTACCAGTGGGACTGAGATGATGATGTCAAGTCAATCTTCAAGTCTTAACCTAGTTCTATATATGTATTTATTTAGTCCAGTTTTCAATTAAATTAATCAACTCATAATAAAGGTGAGATGGCCCATTCCATGTGTTATTCGAAAGGGAATGATATTCACCCAAGAGACGAAAATACCCATTTTGAAAGGGTCAAACCCCTTTTGTAAGAAGGGGTTTTATGTATTTTTACTGAAAGATATCATCTTTTTTCTTGGATAGTTCTTTTGTGGTTTAGCATCATGCTGACCAAGTCCTAGCCATTAACACAAGTGAATTGGGTCGTTAGAAACTAATACTGTAATTATTAATTCCTTAAAGCTTTGGAGCTTAATACATCCAGTCGGTAAATAATAAAACTCACAAATTACAAGTCCTACGTGTGTTAAGAGATAAATTGTACAATTCAATATAAAACTTCTACTAAACGATTATCACAATCATACTTGTATTTCCTGGAATAGATTTCAAGTCCTTTAATTGATATTATACATCGTGGAAATTGAAAGTGATTCTTCTTGCTATGCAAAAAACTAATCAAAATTTCAAAAAGGTAAAAGCATAGGTATTGAATTGACTAATCCATGAAATTGGTAACAGAAATTGTACATAATTTTCGTGTAAATTGTGAAGGGGTAAATCACATAATTTCTTTGTGGGTTTTGTTAATTAACTTGTTAATTAAGCGTCACATCTAATGGGAACCTTTTAACGAGGTTGATGGTGACTTTTTGATCATCAATTTAATTTTATAATTAACAAGAAATTAATTAGAAATTTACAAAGACTTAGATCTATTAATATGCACATAGTGTGCAAGCTTTCGAGCTTAATACATCCAGTCGGTCAATAATAAAACTCACAAATGACAAGTCGTACATGTATTGAGAGATAAACTGTACAATTCAATATGAAACTTTTACTAGATGATTATCAAAATCATGTTTGAAACAGGAAATAGTTTGTGTTTCCTGGAATGGATTTCAAGTCCTTTAATTGATACTATACATCGTTGAAATTGAAATTGATTTTTCTTGCTATGCAAAAAAGCTAATCAAAATTTCAAAAAGGTAAAAGCATAGGAATTTAATTGACTAAACCATAAAAAGGGCAACACAAAATGTACAGATTTTTCGTGTAAATCGTGAACGTGTAAATCACATAGTTTCTACTTTTCTAGCACTAAGTTATGTATTTTATTTTATTATTATTATTATTATTATTATTATTTTTGGTGATAAGAGTGTCCGAATCAGTTTGCGCGTATCTCAACTAATCCTCTAAGGCTTTGAAGTTGACGATCAGGTAAACCACTCAGTGGCCACCCCTATTAGAGCTAAGTGGAGACTCAAACTCAAGAATTCATAAAACATTCTTTTGCTCTTTCACCATCAAATCATCCAATGGTGATTAAGTAGTGTATTCATCAAGTGTCACATTCACCCATATAAGAGAAGCAAAAACAATGCGGCTGTGTTTATTTTATTATTTTGAATAGTATTTTTGAAGAGTTGAATTACTATTACGAGGATAGGATTTGAATTTGAAAATGTGTTTGGTAAGATTATTTTTTAATTCCCTACATTTGTTAATTTAGTTAAACACCCCCTAGAATAGAAGTTCTAAAATTAACAAAAATACTCTCACCTACCTATTAAATGCCAACAGTCGATTACCATCGTCAGACGGTGGTTGGAAGTCGCCGGAATGACGTATGACCGACTGGATGTAGTCAATTGGGAGTATTTAGTTAAATTAACAAATTTATGGGATAAAAAAAATCTAAATATTTTGAGTTGAATAGAATAAGATTGAATTTTGAGAATAGAGAAATAAATATGTATTTTGGGTAAGTTGAATATAATAGAAAAAAATAACAAAACAAACGCAGCATGTCACGTCTAATGGGTACTTTTTAACGAGTTTGGTGATGACTTTTTTTATCATCAATTTAATTTTATAATTAACAAGAAATTAATTAGAAATTTATGAAGACTTAGGGAATCTTAAAAAATGCGTGAAGAATACTTTAGTTAATATAGTAAGGTTAAAGCCATGACTTTGACTAAGAGCTAACGAAGAAAATTTAACTTGCTGCATGGGGATTGGTAGTTCAATCAATTCATGAGGCTCGTGGGAGAGCCATGACTTGGTCTTGAAAATGGACAATGATTCTTCAATTAACGCGGTTTGCTTCGGACCCATAATTCAGATTTAATTAGTCTGAGTCAGGATTCAAAAAAGTTTACTTCAAAACTGTCAATTAACGATGGGACATTTTAATTTTTTAAATCACTCAACCCTTTCGTCGGGTTATTTTGAATTCAATCTATTGAAATTTCTAAATGTTTGCGTAAAAAATACACACTAGTGTAATTATCATCGATCAGAATTTAACGAACATTTAAAAATAAGATGGTATTAGTTATCAGAAACTCAAACCACCTTCAAAAGATATTTTATATCAATCTTATCATATTTTAAGATAAGGATAAAGGAGTGATCCTCACGTGTTAAGACAATTTATAAAAACACTTATTATATTCACCTCAAATGTATAAATGGGTATCTATTTTCGTGAAAAAAGGGTTGACCAAATATATAAGAGCTAGATAAACATTTGAGCTTTATTAATTTCTCTCTGTAAACAAAGCATTTCTCCATTTTGTACGCCTTACAAACAATATTAAAAAAATAACGAGAGAATTATAAAAGAAACAGTGGATGTAGGATTCGTTTTAAGCATCCGAACCACTTTAAAAACCATCTCTCATTTATTATTTAGTCTTTGCATTCAATTATCCTAATTATTTACGTGTAATTTCTAAGAACAACTTAACAATTTGCACGTGCGAATCGTTAGTGTCAAAATCAAACATCAATACTATGATATATCATATAGTTTTAAAAAAAAACCTATTTGTGCGTAGCTTAAGGAGAACTGAGAATAGTGTGGAATGTGAATATGCACACGGTTTCAAATTCGATTCCTCATTTGAGTGTCCATGATTTAAGTGGGAGACCGTGATGGTGAGTTATTGTATGAGTTTCTCTTAAGGATTAGTTAAGATGCGCATTGGCTGATCTGGGTACCTTGGTTAAAAAAAAAAAAAAAAAAAATCATATGGCTTTAATGTAAGATCAATGTTATTATATTTTGATCCCATAGACAAAGCACATAAAGTTATTATTGGGCCCTTGTAAAGAATTAGTTGGGCTTTCTAAGCCCAGCCCGTTATCAAGACTCTCGCAACTCTATTTCTAACAATTAGATATGGGCCACGTACATGATGTTACTTAGAATGCGGTGCAATGCAATTTATCCTAAACGGGATCGTTTGGACAGTCAAAAGCAAAAAGTTTTCAAAATCGATTGCTCATTCCAAACGACGTCGTCCCCTCCACTGACAACAAGGAGTAAATGTATCTTTGTTACTCCTCGCCAACCTCACCAGCAACTTCTTGTAGTTTGGCGGTGACACAGAGCGATGGGTGGAGGTCAGGCGTTGAAGAGAATCCCGCGCATCAAGTTCCCTCAACGATACACAAAACCCTCTGGTCTGTTTCTCTATTCTTGTTTCGCTTCAACTTGATTTTTTTTTTAATTTTTCATGAATCGTGTATCCGTTTATGTTTACATTTCTCCAAATCCTAGAAATAAATCAGTACTTGATTCGAAATATATAATTATAGATCTCGCTTATTAGTGTAAGAGGACGTATTTACTTGTGAATTTATGAAATCAATTTTTGGTAGTATAATGGATTATTCAGCTACATTGTGATTCTGGTACTTGTAAATTATATTGTTTATGGGTTCTTTGTGGAAAGATTGTAATGTTTTTCAGCACAATTTATTAATCACTTTCCAGATTCAGCAAATGCAACTCAGTCTCAATCAGCATCTTCATCTGTTGACGCTTTGTTCACTTCATTCTCAAGTTTAAAGGCGCCTGCGTCTGCTGGAGGGAAAGCTTCTCTTCAGCTTAAACGAACTCCGGTATCCAACGAGGAAATTGAAGCTATTTTGGTAAATACTATTATTGCATTCACTAGTTTGAGATTTTGTTTAACATTAGATAAAGTATTTTGATAGAAGTATATAAGTTATATAGGTGACCTCAACTAGTTTAAGATTAAGGCATAGGGGAGTTGAGTACCAATAAAATTGGTGTCATGGGCATGAGGTAATACAATGGTGCTATTGTGTGCGCATCAAACTATATGATTTCAACCAAAAGTTATATTTTTTCATGCCGGTACATTTTGAGCACTGTGTATGTTCTTCACTAGGTTCACTGGGGGATCAATGATGGCTGGGATGTACATTCAGTGTTAAGAGTGAATGAATTGGCAATAGATATTTTTGATTTCTGTTTGCTCTTTTGTACATAATTGGTTTTTTAATTGGAAATCCTTTAGACATTTCACTTGTGCTCGGTGTGTAATCATGATTACTATACTCAAAAAGTTCATAGTTGTATCTTTGCTCTTTTTAACATAAGTTCTTGTTCTCATTGTACATATTTAATGATTATATATATTGCTCTATCTTGATCATCTTTTGACAGTTGGGTGGCTGTTTATGATCTTGTGAGTTGTGATGGAGCTTTGAGAAAGGAAGACAATTTGCTGGTCATTTTCTCAATTCTTTTCTTTTTCTGAATGTCAAACTGTATCTTTTCAGCAACTGTTGAATTGTGGGGATTTTATGTTTTAAAAGAACAACCAACTAATTGACTTCAATAATGGACATGGTAGGAACTGAATTTTTTCTTTTTAGCTCATTTATCTCTTATTTATTGTTTCGTAATGTTGGAGGATTGTTTACAAGTGTCAGAGTACACACACACAGAAAAAAAAAAAAAAAAAGCATCTAAACTTACTCATATGTGGCACAGAAATGATTAGATCATTGTGAATCTTTGTTTTCGAGCATTACTTCAAGGATAGCAGACTTCGGATTTTTTCCTGGAGGGCCCTTTTCTCTTCGTTCGAGCTCATCGAGCCTGAAAGTTATCAAGCGATCCCAATTTCCTCCCTCAAAAAGAACCCCTACCTTTCCATCAGTGATTCTCTGAACAATGCCGCAGTACATGTAGAATGGGCTATTTGGATTCTTCACTATGGCAAACATGCCAGGCATTAGCAGTGGCAATTCAGGTGGCTTTGGCTTCTTTGTGGTAGTAAGCCCTACTATATTGCCTGAATCTGCAACCATTGGTTTTTTGGGAGGTGGGTTCTTCTCAATAAATTGCATCAACCCCTTTTCCCCACCTGGAAATCCTCCAGTAAGACCCATCATCTCCTTGTCAAATGCATTTTCTGGAACACTGGGAACTGCTTCTCCTGCAGTACCAGCTGAATATTCTTCTTCTTCAGCACCAGGTTGTGATGATGCTTGTTCTGAGGTGTTCCTCTTCAGCTCTTGTTCTATTCCTTTCTCTCCATTCAAGAGTCCCCTGCCTCCCATGATTTCGAATAGGTTGAATTTAGCGCAAGGTTTTAGGTAAAAAGTCGATGGCTGTTTTGGAGTGTTCAGAAATGGTTTATGACCACGTTGGGAGATATGGTTTTGGCCAAGAAAGTGGGATTTAAGCAGAGGACCTTGGAGGGTTGGAAGATTGATAGAAGAAGCCATAGTTTTGCAGAAGCCAGCCTTCCTGTGAGAAAATAAAAGAAGCCTTGTCCTTAATTCTCAGCCACAAAGTAGATTTATCAGATAACTACTATGACAATTCTGTCCCTTTTATAGATGTGTGAGTCAAATTTCATCTGGATACGTAAGTCTATAACATCGCCAAATACTTTCTACTCACCGCTAAGAAAGCTATCATTTTCTGCCACAAGGGGCTCATCACTTGATTTACCCTGGTGAAGTGTCAAATCATGCTCAAGTTGAGTAAACGTAAAGTTGCTTGTCTCCCTAAAAATAGATTATTGCAAATCTAATAACAGTTTGGAGCGACTATGTGACGACTCAAATGAAGATTTATGCAAAGATTCTACCAACTATTGCACCACCCATGTTCTGCTTCAGCAATTATGATTTCTTCTTTGCATGTTCTCGTGGGCCAATTTAGACCATCAATTTGGTCCCAAGCTACTAAAACATTAGGGCTTTAACTCTTGGTGGGTCAAGACATGACTAAAATTGATAATGTTTAGTGGGTCCGATCTGATCTCTATTCCAGTGAAGGTAGATTGCATCAAAACCACTCTTTATTACTTGATTAGTTGATTGTGTTTGGATTGATATTTTTTTATTTATTTTTTTTAACTGAAGGTGTTTGATCAGTTTATGCGAACTTTAACTAATTTCTTGAGGTCCTGAAGTTGATAGATGAATAAATCTCCTCAGTTATCACCCCTATTAACAACAATTAAGGTGGATCGAATTCAGGATCTCTCGAGTAATACAATCAAGGGTTTTAGTTAGCTTTGTGCCACTCAGTAATAAATGAAATGTTGCTGTTCTTCAATCATCTATGGAGCTTTAGACTGTACCTAAATTTCATTGTAAAGTTCTTAGTGGAAATCCAAGTGCAATCAACTTACTATCTTCATAAAGGCAATTAATTGTCCCTGTCTTAATGGGAGCGTGGATTATGTTGTATTAAGTAATATTAGGCTAAAAAATTTATGGGAAATGCTTGAGGAATAAAGACTCTTATAAAGAGTTGTTGTACAAAGTGTTGTGGCAGCCGTCACATCACTAGTTTTACATCAATCTTTTTTTTTTTTTTTTCCACAAGTTAATAGTATAACAGTTGTCACATCACTTTATACAAAGACTTTTTGTAGGAGCCTTTGTATATTTAGCATTTCTCAAAATTTATATATAAAACAACAATAATAATAATAATAAAAAGCAAACCCATTGATTTTTATATATATATAACATATAACAGAAATGCATAAAAATTTAAAAAAAATATATCTAAATAATTTAATAAATTGTACAATATCTTAATATGGTGATAAACAATGGGCCCTATATTTTGGTAATGGGACATCAATCATCATCATGGTCTAAAATATAATTCCATATTTATTATTTTTTAATTATCCATAATCTATGTGCGCGATTCCATTTTCCTCAGGCTCAAGCTCAAGCTCAAGCTCAGGCTCAAGCTGGGGTTTCGTTCAAGTATCAGCCTATCAGCAACCTCACAGGGGTAAAACCGTCTTCTGAATTGACTTATATGATTAAAACTACAAAACTAAACTACTATACCGACCATTCATATCGTTAAGTTATACGAGAGTCAAACAGCTTTCCGTGAAGAGAAGATCCTGATCCTGATCCTCTTTCTCTTGCTCTTTCGTGTTCTTTCTTCTTTTATTAAGTTAACCCTCTCCAAGTGGTAATACCCCCATCTTTATCTCTCGCTTTTATAATCTCTAACTTGTTTATTATGTTAAAAGTTTCGTTGATACGTAAGTTAGGTGATAGCTCTGGTTAATAGTATTCATTTTATATTGTTTTGATCAGATTTAGGGGATACAAACTTGTCTCCTGTTTTTGCTTTTTGGCTGGATGGTATTCTAAGGTTAGTTATTTCTGTTCAAGGTTGTAACTGTTTAAGCCTTTAGTGAAATATTGTTGTGAGAGTTTACTGGAGAATTATGGGTTTGATTCATCAACTTTTGATGTTTAGATCTTATGTAGTTGAAATCTAAGCTGTTGGAATTTTTTGTTTTGATTTCTAGTAATGGGATTTAATAAGTTGCTTACTATTATGGATCGAGGGTATAATTGTGTGATTTATTATTTGGGAGGATTACATTTGTTGATTATTCTTAGTTATGCAATTATGGGTTTGATGACAAGTTAGTGATCTTTGAGCTTTATTTGTTGGGAGCTTTCTGTTGAATACGCTAAGCATTATGCATAATTTTTCTGCACCTACAAGGCATTGGAACAAAATGCTGTATTAAATTAAGTTGAAAGAAAAAGGGATTTTTTTAGCTGATTGCAAGTGGATTATCTGTTAGATAATTCATCTGGTTTTTTTTCTTTTCCAGGTCACAGCTATTCTTTCTTTGTGCTCTGAATATAGAGCTTCATGGATGATAGTCTTGGGAAGATAAAGGTTATCCGGGATCACTTTCAAGTACCAACTCCCAGTGTGGACTCTCCTCAAAGCAATACTCCATCTGTTTCGCAGCCAAGTACTGACAATTCTTTGAGGTATTTATATCAAAGGCAAAGTAAAAGAGAAATATAAAGTCAGCTAGACTAGGTTCAAGAATTTTTGAATTGATTTTAGTGTAGTCTTCTTATTCTGGTTTAGCATAGGTCAAATAGCTGTTTGTGGACTCGAAGAAAGTTAAAAAGTGCGGCATCCATGTTGAATATGTTTAGCATACGTGGGCTGCCCTGGATTTCGAGCCCCGATGGTCAGGAAAAGGTTTGTTGAAGGACTTTTTTTGGCTTTGACCATTAAAATCAGTGAAACTTCTGTTTTCTGAATCCCCACAATGTTTTGACTTGCAGGTTGAGGTAAGTGCTGCAGAATTGGCTTCACTTCGATCAGAACTTGCTGATTTAGAAGAGAGGGAAGCTCACTTGAAAGCTCAGTAAGACAAACTTAGTGCTTCACTTTAGACGTGGTTAACATTTCTGGTTACAAATTATTATATCAGTCAATGTGTATATATTGTCGTTCTTTCTATCTCTTTTTGTTTACTGTCTGTGCACTTAGTGTTCAATCTGGGATAAGTTAGGTTCTATTTTTCTAAATTTAAAATTTTGGTCTCTGAAAAATATGAGGAGACCAACCCTGGTCTTGCATTTTATATGTGTGAGTTATGCTTCAAGAACTGAAGTGGGGTTCTCTGCCCTTTGCACCCAATGACATGGCAAACCATCGAATGCAGTATTATGCTTCTGTTTTTTCAAAGAAATTTCTGTTTAGTTTAAACAGATTCTTGCTTTTCTGTACTTATCTTTGATTTCCTTTTCTTATATAGGTTGGAACATGTTGATGAAATTTTACGGTCTGCTCGTTTGTGTGGTTATCTGTACATCAGAACTGTAATCACCATCTCTATGTCTTCTTTTACTTCGTGCCAGTTTATAGCTCATTAGTTTGTGCATGTTATGACCCTACCTGTGGCTTTCCTTTCTGTTTCCTTTTACAGAGGTGGAAGCCTCTACCTGGAGAACCTCCCCCCCTTGATGATACTGAGGTTGATGACTGGCTTCCTCGATTTGTTGTCCTTCATGGATCATGTATTTTCTTCTATTTGAAGTCCACAGGTAGTACGTTATTACTGATAATCCTAATTCCTAAACTTCGTTGTCATTATGTGTCAATTCCTGCTTCTCTATGTATTTAGCTGCCATCTGGTTGTCTGGTGATGAACTTTAAAATATCTATATCATGCAGATTTGAGCCCACAGGACTCCACCCTGTTATCTGATATTGTTGAAGTAGGTTTTTTGCCAAGCTTTACGCGAGAAGATGAAGAGACACGACATTCATTTTATATCTTAACTCGGCATGGACTGCGATATGAATGCTCAAGTATTTCTAAGATACAGGTACTAGTAAGTCTGCTTGTTTCATATGGATGGTATCTAAATTGATCTGTGCCCTTCTCACATGTGCCAATCTTTACGTGGTTTTCTGGTCTTCAACTTCTTGCATCTTATCCTTCTTTAATTTCCAAATTATTTGACAAAAGGGGGGACCCCTTTTGCAAACTCCTATTAGGTTTCACCCATTAGACTAGCAGCTATATAAATTTCAAAATATATAACACACAAGTAATCAAAGCTAGCGATGGTAAGAATGTCCAATATCTCTACCAATGATTATTGTTTAGGAGAAAATTTATGAGTATTTTTCTTTAAATAATTTGTTTGACTAGAGTTGAGGAAACTAACTGTCCTGAATCATGAATTATGAATTATGAAAGATGTCTGCATTTGTCACCATCTAAAAGATTTAGTAAATAGGTAATTGTGAGAATTTAGTCTAGTTGTGTCATTTGGGATTATGCTGATGAAAATGAATAGAGGATTAGGATGCCTCATTAATAATGGAAAACCCCTCTAATTTGATTGACAAAATAAATCTCAATTTTATTACAAAATGTTACTTTCTTACTTTCATCTATGTTAACGGAATTGATCGTCATGGTAGATACCTTTAATTTACCTTTTTCTCATTCTCAGGTGGACTCTTGGCTGTTGGCCTTACAAACTGATTGCAAATTGGCTTCCGATCCAAAAACTCCTAATGGGAAAAGTGAAATATAACAGTTTAAGCTGTGTACATAGGACAATGACTATTAATGTTGAAGATTGAAATTAGATAGTGGATTACTAACCTATTCTTTATGTTTTTGTACATAAAACAACATTCTTATTCAATAAGAATCAATGGTTATTATCATTTAGACTGATATGATTCATAGTTTCGACGGAAACACAAGCCCTTCAGCCTGGCATTTTGAGGACCTCTGGACTGGCCACCATTGCCGATGCTTCTCTAATTTGTACTATTCATGTGCAACGAAATCTGCTGAAGCATTGCAGTGTAAACAACTCTAGGAATGAGTAGATATGCAAGTGTTCCTGAAGGTAGCAGGCATACCCATTCTCTCTAAAGAGAAAGTCTTATGTGGAACGGTGCATGGCGTTTGTGTAAACTATGTACATTGAGTGCAAGGAAGGATACCCACTGGTTCCATTGAAGAATTTTTACTTTAGAAAAACGTAGCTTTTATTTATTATGTTTAGCTCGAATTGATGATTACGGTATAGATTTAGGATTCATGCCAAGTGGCTACTAATGCAAAGTAGAAGTCTGGTGATGAATTCTGGAACAAGAACAAATACACAGTTGCTTACAAGTTACAACATGCCGTTGATTAAGAGAACTCGCCAAGCCTAAAATACACTGCAAATTTGAGGTGCTCTGAGGAGGAAAGATACCAAATTCTTTGCGTAATTAAGAAATCCCATCCCACAAAGCACCAGATTCCACGTGAACACAAGAACCACTCTGCTCATCCAGTGAAAACGAGGCACCCTCTACAAAAGTTGGTTCGACTCTCTGGCAACTATCTTTCTCTCTGTCAATTATAAAATAACGTGGTCCTATTGGTTCCAAACAAAGCTGCTTTTCGTTTATCTTTTCACCTTTTTCTGTGTTCAACTTTCAGAGCAGAGAATAAGTACCAAACGACTAATTGTCTCCACCTCTTGAGCTTTGACAAATCAAGAAGTTTCCTGCCTACTTTCCATTAACAAACAAAAGGTTGTAAAGCTTAAAGAAACTTCCTTTATTCATAATCGTACTTTACATGAGAAAACAAAAAAAGATCTCTTAATTATGCACAAATGATCGGGTAGTTAGTTTAATGGGTTCATCTAACGACTAACGTTCACGGCTCCAAGCAGTTCGGGTAGGGTTTGACTGGACCACACACTTTACACTACACATTAATCGATAACCAATCTATCTTTCAGGCACACTCAAACAACGCAAGAATCTCCATATAAATATAAATATTTTGCCTTAGCTCTTATCACTCTATTGCTCTCTTGGGTTCATTTTCTTGACCATTATTCTCTGCTCATTTTTCACTCTTTAGACTCCGAAAATGAGCTCTTTGATTGGCAGATCTGCTTCTAGAGCCGCTAGGTCTCTCCTGTCTGCTTCTAAGAACTCTCGTTTTTACTCTGGTAAATCTTTTCATTTCATTTCTTTGTTTAAACCATTTAACTTTACGTTGAATTCTTACTGTTTAATTAGATTTACTATATTTTCATTTTCATGGAAACTGATCTTGGAATGGATTCTTTTTTTATATATTATACGTGTTAGGAAACAATGAACATGGTTTGTTGAACAATTGTGATTAATTTTTTAAATTGGGCTGAATTACTGGCTTAGCCTGAACTGATTTTCTTGCTTTGTTGATCATAGTACTAAAATTTTGAAGTTTGGATTCGGTTTGTTGTTCTGCAATAACTTTAATCTGTGTTGTTCATTTAATTGTTTGGCTTTGGCATCTTTTGAGCGTAATTTATGGATTTGTTCTTATTGCAGAAGGGCGAGCAGTGGCTGCAGCAGCGGCAGTTACATTCAGTGGGAAGGTGCCTTTTCTTGCGTCAAATTTCGGTAGGGCTGGTTCCTCCAACGTGTCTCAAGGATGGCTATCCGGAGCCCTTGCTCTTCCGGCAGCAGGTTGGGAGAAAATGTTGCTTTCCCCTTCTCTGTTTTTTGTGTAGTGTATAAAAATTAATGTAGTATGTAATGAAATCTCTGAGATTTGGATTTTTTTTAAATATGACTTTTCTTCAGAGTAAACAGATGCATTTAACTCTGTAATTTTTTCAAGTGAGGGAAAGGAGATGATGGTTTAAATGTAAAAGGTCTGAGCAGAGAATTAGTGTTTGTGGTTTGGGAAAAAAAGGAAGAGGAGCCTTGTCACTTGCTTAAGAATTAGCATCGTGGCTTCCGAGACCTCTTCTACAATGATCAGACTGTGCTTAAGCATGGTTATGGAGAAATGATTGGCTTGGGGATGTATATGCTAGTCTTGAATTTTTCCTTGAGTTTCTCCCAACATTCTACCTTAATCCCAAACTAAACATTTGTGAGAAATCCTCTTTCTTCTGCAATGATCAAAACTTTTCTGATCCTTTTCATTATGTGTCCTGTAGTTTGCCTCTGACCTGAACTCGTTAAGTAAGGAGTAAAATTGTTGGGAAACATATAGTAGCTAGAGTTTGTGAACAATTTAATCAATCATGTTTTCATCTCTACAAGAGAGCAATAACAAAAACTTTTCAGTAGCTTTATGAAAGAGTGGCTTTTAAGTATTTACTTACATGAGATCATAGATTTTTGTTGTGTCTGATCTTCATCTTAATTTTTCCTTTGTGCTTTTCCATTTTGTTGCAGTTTACATGCTCCAGGAGCAGGAGGCACATGCTGCAGAGGTCATCAATTAAGCCAACATCTTATTTACTGTTACTGAAACTTCGTTTATCTTTCTACACTGTAATTCATTTTATTAATGCATCATTCTATCCATTCAGATGGAGCGTACTTTCATTGCTATCAAGCCTGATGGAGTGCAGAGAGGACTGGTAAAACAATCATCAAACATATATTTATTTATTGCTCAAAAAGTCTTATGCCTTTCTCAGTTCTTTTGCCTGCGTTAGATAAGCAACTTCACCACCCCATTTTTTTTGCTCATCAGCATTCACCGGTAGTGCTTGGCCCTAAATGCATTTATTGAACCCGAAGTCTACCATTCAATTCCCGAGTTTCTTCTTCTTCTTCTTCTTCTTCTTCATATCTGTCTTTTCTCTATCCCTCTCTCGAGTTAGTGTGGGTGTTTTTTCAATATTAATTTTAAAGAAAGTATTTGTATATCTGTTGCAGTGTGAGGATTGATTAATATTTGTTCAAGGATTGGATTTTGTTCTTCAGATCTCAGAAATCATATCTCGCTTTGAGCGTAAAGGGTATAAGCTCGTGGCCGTCAAAATAGTGATTCCTTCAAAAGATTTTGCACAGAAGCATTATCATGATCTGTCGGAAAGACCCTTCTTTAATGGCCTCTGTGAGTTCCTTAGCTCTGGCCCTGTTCTTGCCATGGTAAGAAGAACTAAAACTAGTATAATACCAAATACCATTAAAGGTCAACTCTTTTGGCTACCATATTCATCCAACTCATGCAGGTTTGGGAAGGAGAGGGAGTTATTAAATACGGTAGGAAACTCATTGGAGCCACAGATCCACAGAAATCAGAACCTGGAACAATCAGAGGCGATCTAGCCGTTGTTGTTGGAAGGTATGTTCTTATCACCTCGACATGATGTTTCAATTTACACTTACAGATCTTCAAATCGTCTTTCACTCAATCCTACATTTCCATTTATTATAATCAAGTCCAGATTTAGTGCAAATTACTGTGTCTTGACAATCTTGTGTTTGCATTGCTGTGTAGAAACATCATTCACGGAAGTGATGGCCCTGAGACAGCGCAGGATGAGATTAAATTGTGGTTCAAACCAGAGGAATTGGTTAACTACACAAGCAACGCGGAGAAGTGGGTGTATGGAGTCAACTGATTAAATTTTTTTGTGTTACAATTAAAATTTTCAGAAACTTAGGTCGTCCCACAGTAAGAGTGGGGTAAGCAGCGGCATAATTCTTAGAATAAATATGTGTTCCTGTTGAGGTGAACAACGCAAACTCTACTGCTTTGCTACAAACAGCCGGCGAAATTTATTTCGGCAATAATTTATTACACCTCCTTCGTTATGCACTCCAATGAACACAATTCTCTGAGCCCTCTTCATAATTTTGACCAATTGTTTTCAGTGGTGCTGATCACGTATTGATGAATTGATTTTGTATTTATTGAAAATTAGAGAAAACATTTTCTGTATTGTTGTAAATTAAAAAAAAAATGAAAATATAAAGGGAGAACGACAATTTCCCACCTAAGGTTTGGTTAAACAAAACTTTTTTCATCCGAAGATTTTCAAAACGATATTTTTTCACCCATCGTTAAGATTCGTTAATAAAATCTATTAACTAACATGGTATAGACCAATATTTTAAAAACCAACTTGGGATTAAACTTGGCAAAGAAGTCGAGTCACAGCTTGACCGGTTTGACCCCCTGGTCAAACCAGTGACGTGTCATATAAAAAAATTTCAAAATTTTTGTATCGACGCATGTTAGCATAGTGACTGTTTTTGGTGCATGTTAACACGTGTCGATGTTAGCATTCTTTTCCATTTTTTCGAGTGTTTTCTCACCTAAAATCACTTGCATCACCACCACTAGGACCCCTACCCTCTCCTCTTCAAAACCATACCCTTTATCCCTTCTCATCAGTCACCGATCGCAGAGCAATGGAAACCGCGTCGATCAGCTGTCTTTTGCTAGATTCTGGCCGTTTTGAGCGACGACAACTCCAACCACCACCACCCTTAGAATTACTGGCTACTCCCTTAGAAAACCCCTAAAGTTTCCAAGCCATTCCACCCACCAATCATTGACAATCATAAGCTAGGGTTTCGCAGTTTCTTGGCCAAATTCCAGCTACTAAAACTTAATTAGACACACCCTCTGATCACCATGATCCACCTTTCAAAATCTCCTAACCCCAATTCATGTTTGCTCACCAAACGACAATCAAAAGTCATCGTTTTATGTATTTTGATTCACCATGTTCTTCTAAAAACCGGTTGGATCAGCAGGTTACTATAGTACCCTCGATCCAACCCCAGGTGAAATCCCTTTAGGCTCTCTTGACTTGGCTCACTGACCAAACTGGGTTTTAAAACAATGGCATAAATAGTATAAAAACAAATATACCATTCTCTTTTCTTCTTTCTCGTCGCCGCCTCTTTTCTTTTTCTCCTTCACCTTTCTTCTTTCTTCTCTTTCTCACGTTTTCCCCTTCTCCGAGAGAAGAAAGGTAGGGAAGAAGAAAAGAGAAGGGTATTTTTGCCTTTACATTCGTTTATACTTTATACCATATTCGTTAATAAGTTTTATTAAAAGATTCTAACTCGAGTGAAAATAATTTTTTTAGAAAGCATCGTTTGGCTAAGCCGTGAGTGGGAAATTATTCTTTATCCCAAATGTAAAAGACGAAACATAATCATAACAATCATGATGTTTATTAACCGGAGTGGGAAAGGTATTTGAAAAAGTGATATAAATCATATAATCTATAACGTTTATGTTTTATCTAATTAAATAAATAATATATAGTTTAGCTTAAAGTGATGATATATTCCTATGAAAATAGGTGGCGGTCTAATCGATCGTTCACTTTGCCTAAGCTCTCTTGGATCCCAAGTAAATGACGATAGCCTTCTAACGTCAATTAATTCACAACAAAAATATCTCTTCATTTCTCCTAATCAAGCTTATCAACATTCAACCAATAACATACCGCCACGTAACACATAAAACTTCTTTTGACCCAGGACAAAAGCTTTTCTATATTGTGGTGCACTGGATAATCCCCCACATGAAGGGTAACGCAATGAATGTGGTAATCCTAGGCGGACTTGAAAGCAAATTACTAAAATAGTTGTAATTGATTTGATTGGAACTTGAAATCCGCTGAGTAACCGACCGCTATAAATAGACCTTTTTTCACCCAAGGTTTTCCGTTTTCTTGTCGGCTTTTGGAAACGATTTTTGTGTTAGGTTTTCTTAGATTTGTGGAAGCAACCACGAAACCCTACCCCTAGCTTCAGCGAAGTTCTTTCTTTCTCTCTCTCTCTCTCTCTCGAGAATCGGTAAGTATAGCAGTTCATTCTTTGATACTTTATCTTGAGAATTTGATCCTGTACTTGGTATTGAGAGCTTCTTTCGTGTTCATCATCGCTGATTTTTGTAAATTTTCAAGATTTTATAAATATATTTCTGTTCATTTGTTGTAGTAATATTGTAGAAATATGTTTGGTTTATGAACTGTAATGATATTGTTTCAACAATCTGTTTATGTTGTTGTGGCCGTGTCCTTTTATGTATAGAATCTCATTTTCTTCGGCTTGTTAGGTTTTGTCTATTTTATTATGTTTTTATTAGCTCATCGAAGTTGCTTTATTATTTATTAGTTTTCTCACCATATAATTTGTTCACCGGATTTTCTTTGTATCCATCTCAAGTTTAAAAAAAAAAATAAAAATTGATGTTTATTCTTTCTTTCTTTGAGCTGGTTAACGTAGTTTTCGGTTAAGTTTAGTCATAGGCTCGGTTCCTTTACCAACTGCTATTTCATTGCTTTTTTCCATTTATAACCTAGTTTTTGTGATCCATGACAGATGGCTGCTAAACCTCTCACTACTGAGGCAATTGCCCTTACAGAAAAGAAAATGGACATGTCATTAGGTATGTCTTAAGCATTACATGTTTCCCAATATTTGTATCATGATTTTGTATCTATTTATTGATTTCTTATGGATTTTTTTTCGTTTGAATTGCTGTAGATGACATTATTAAAATGTCAAAGAACCCTGCAGCAACTAAACCTAAGCAGCAGCGTAGGCCACCGGTAAGAAACTACTGTTTGGAAGCTTATGTATGTAATCATGTGCGTTCGTGTATTGTTGTAGCATTTTGATATTTGGCTGATATCTTAGTCTATTTTGTTTTCTGCAGAATAAAAGTCAGAAAAGTTTTAATAACGCTGTTCAAGATAAGGCTTTAAAAGTTCGACAGCATATGGGCTCAAGATCCTCTGTTAGACAGGTATGCAAGCATTGCTTCTTCCAGAGGTAACATGTAACATGATCTGGTTTCGTAGGTAAATTCTGATGTCTTTTTCAACATACTGTTATAGGGTGTTCTTGCTCAGAGAAGGTCAAATTTCCAGAATAACCATTTTCCTCTAGCGAATGAAGCTGCAAGGAAAGCCGTAGTTGCTCCTGTCAGAAATAGAGCTTTTAATGGTAGCATGGTGACAAATAAAATGAAAAGAGCAAGGTTTGAAGCCACTTCATCTAATCTTATCTCCTGTTATTAGCAAAGATGAGCTAGAAACAGTTGGAATAATTTGGGTGGTTTTGGCGGCATTAATTGCCCATCTAATGAACATGTATTATCATTGAAATTTGCAGGTAAATCATGGTCTATAATATTGATGGTCTCTTCCATTTGCTTCGGGTTAATTTATGTCCACTCACATTGTAGTGCAAGATCTGGTTTTGTTGTGGCGAATGGCCAACCACATATTGGGAGTTTTTTTAAGCATAGACATGCTGTTCATGCAATAAAGAGTAGAATGTCTGCATAGTAGTCTTCATAAATGTGGTGTGAAAAGTTCATCTGCTAGAGTAAGCAGCACATACATATTTCGCTATTGGTATTATCTTTTGGAGATGCTGTTATATTTTTTGAGTTGGCTGTGAAAGCTATTGATCATTGGTGATGGGCAAGAAGATACCATTCAAAGGAGATTGTTTAAAACATAAAATAAGTTTGATAAATTGTGCAAGCTTTATATTTTGAAGAGAGTTATGATGTGAAACATTGGACAAAATATGCTCGATATATTTGGTGGTTGAATGCCTTGATAGATCTATCCCTCCCTCTCATACTTGTCGTGGACAAGTTATTTTGTGGTTATACTATTGGGCATGGCATTTGAAATTTATGGGTATTTTGCTTCTGGATTTCTGTTTTTCTGAAGATTCCTATTTGTGTTGTCTTCACCTTCATACTTAACATACCATAGGATCATGCTCCAGGGTGAATGTTTTTTTTCCAATGTGATCATGTCATATATCCTGCTGGTTTATCCTTTTCAATTTAGACCTTTTGCAGAGAGGAATTTGGCCTCTTTGAGATATTTTGATGAGTTTGGAAGATAATCATGGGGTTTATGCATTACTGCATTTACAATTTGTGTTATTTTCTTTATGGAGATTTCTGGACTCTGGAAGATGCCTTGGTTTATTATTAGCGTTTCTATTTTCTTTCACCTGCTTCTTAGGCAATTGGGTTGCCGTTTGCCTTAAGACCTTGGGTTGGAACTGACAAATCTGTTTTAAGATGTTTAGACGAACAATAATCTGAATTCTGGTTTCTGGGTGAAACTGAGCATTTTTGTGCATCAATAATTGTAACCAAATGGAAGAATTTTGGAGTGTTATAGAAGTTAAATGGGGGGCATTTTAGTTGTTTAGATGTGGTAGTAGAAGCTGAGGTCTGCTCTAAAATTAGAAGCATCTGTGGCTGGTTTGTTGGTCATGTTGTTTCCAAGATGAGTTTCTTGGGAGGAAGTCTCCTGGTTTTTGGATTGATTGGAGAATTGTCCCCTTTAATTTTTCCCAAGTCGGCCGCTTCATGGAGGTCTTTCTGTGTTCTTTGGGATATGAAAGCATCCCCTTTTCACTGTGAAGCTTGAACTTCAGAGCCGTGTTCTGCGATTGGAAACTTTTGTGGAACAAAAGAACTAATGTAATGGAGATTTGGCCTGTCCCCTTTCTTGAAGTGCCTCTTTTGTCCTGGAATGGTTTGTCTGATCTTTCTGTTAGTTTGATTTAATATAATTCACAATGGTAAGCCTCTCAAATCTTGCTCGAAGTGGCTCTATATCATGTTCTGGTCTTCAAGTGACTTTGAGCAATGATGATATCTTGGATGGTATAGTTATGTCTCATATCAGAGGCGGCTACTTAATTATATATTTCTTTTCAGTTCTTCAATCATTTTTTTTAATGTATGTAGGGTTGGAGCTATGCCAGTTCAGAGGAAAGTTGCAAATGGGGGTTTTGTTGCTAAGGTACCATTCTATCACAGCTTTGGTTGTGTATATGCTTGGCATTCTGTGGGGGGACTTCAAACAATTTATGGAAACTCTATTTTACAAGATTAAATTTATGGAAATGAACTTCCTGTTAATCTAATTTGTGAAGTTTGACATACTACAATGATCTGACTCATATGCTGTTTAAATATGTACTGGTTTGAGTTTACCATTGAATTAGGAGTTGGCAGATCTTGATGATTGCATCTTCTGTGCAGTCACTGCAGCAGGACAATGGAGGGCCTAAGCAGCTGAGGCCTCAAACACTGGATTCACTATTTGCCAATATGAAGGAGCAGAGGATGAGGGTCTTTCAACGCCAGAGTAACGGTGGTGTTCAACGCCAGAGTAACGGTGGTGTTCAACGCCAGAACAATGGTGGTATTCAACGCCAGAACCATGGTGGTGTACAACGCAATGGGGGAGGCCGGCCAAGGCTGCCTTGGGCAAGAGGCCGATTTGGCAACTAAAGCAAACTAGTAGTTGGGATCTCTTATTAGTGCAAGGGTTGAATGCTTGCCTAGTTGGTTCAAGTTGAAACACGGGGATTTTGTTTTTTTCTTATAAATCTCACTGTCTGTCTCTTTGACATTTTGATAAGATATTCATGTTACTTGGCTCATTTGATCAAAAATGTATAGCAGCTCTTTTCTTGCTTTATGACTGATACATTCCCCGGTTCTTGGCTTAATTAGTTCACTTAATCACATCATTTGAATTGTGTGTTTATTTAGTATTTGGCTGCTCTAATAATTCTGATGTCACTGGGACAATTATCAGAAGTTGGATGGTTGTACTTCGATGTTATACAAAGCTCCTTAAGAGTTGTAGCAATCAGCATTGAATTGAAAATCCTTGATGTTGGCTCCGATTTATTTCCTATCAATTTATCCATCATCAAATTTGCATGTTAAGAATTTGACTATGAACTCTAACATCATCCGCATTCTTCTGGGTCCTAACTCCTAATCCTTCTTGTACTTCGTGTGAGGGACTCTGGTTATAGGCCGTGTGAATATGTTTTTATTGTGAAATTGTTAGATGAATATGGCTGCATTATCGAGCTTGAGGTATACTATTGGGTGGATTCGTATCCTCTTTGATTTCTTTTTCGTTTTGGTATCCTTCTTGTTTTTTGGATTTAACTTTCCGGCATTTTATAATTATAATTATAATTTTAATTTATTGCTATAACTTGGTGGAGTGATTAATGTTAGGATCTCATGTCAGGATCTTACACCCACCAAATATGGTACTTAAAGATATCAACAAATAAAAACTACAAATTCATACTTCATATAATCCCATATGAAAAATAATAATAAATTATCTCTTAATAATTTACAACCATCCTAAGGGGACAATCCCATTAAGTTCCCCTAATTAACGGATTTGATTGGTGGAGGTTGAGCATCATCCGCATGGAAGATCGGAGGTGGAAGATCATCATTTTGTATCTTACGGGAATCCCCTTTAAAACAAGTCTTTAGTTCCAAAACTATACTCGTTATACAATAACAAGCTGCAGAGGTCCACATTACTATCCTCACAGCCTTTTCTGCTTTCCCGATTGTTACGCCAAACACAATGTTGCAGTATGCAAGTATTATTATAAGCATCCCAGCACAACGATGGTACATAAACCAGAACCTGTAGTATTTGGCTTCGGGTTCCTTGGGCGACTTCATAATGAATGTTAGTAGCTGCACAACATTACCATTTTAAAACCCTGCTTAAACTTTTATGAATATATTAATTAATTGGTATTAGAGATGGTTAAAAACCTGAATAGCACAGAGGATAACTAAAGCCACACCGATGTTTCTATGTATAAGCACGTATCTTTTGGCTACAGGATCACGGTCTTCCACTTGATCAATGATTAATCTTCTTCCATTGGATACACTGGCAAGTCCGAGGCTGAATCCAAGAAAATTCATTGTTGAATGACAATAGAACCAGAATGGATCACGATGCCTTAAATGTTTTGGGACAAGTGCTCCTAAGGGGATGAGTGTACCCCATCCTAAGATTGCTAATATTCCATGGATCATTTTTGTTGTTTCTGGGTCCTGGTAAAGAAATGATGAAGTCCCTGCAGGAAGAAGATCGATTAATTATGGTATTTGTAATATTTACTTTGAAAGAAGATAAAAGTGATACAAACCTGAAGAAAAATCAACTGTGGTAGACCGACTTTCAACATGCTTCGTTAAGGAATTTCCTGGAGGAATCCCATCTCCCAAAGCCAATATAATGGGTTGACCACCAAGTCTGTTGGAAGATTTTACTTGGAATCCCAAATGGGTGATACCTTCTTGACGAGAAACAACAGGTGCAACTTTTGTAAGGTCCAAATCTCCTTTGTCTGGTATGACTTGAGATGCATCTTTTTTACCATGTAAAAAGTACTGCTTTATGCTAGATTTTCCATCGTCACTAACCCAACCTACCATCGCACTTGATCCCACCATTTTCCCATCCTTTGAAAACCCAATTCCAACCCATTGAGAGGTCAATTTTCCTGACAACACAATCGTCGTAACATTATCTTGATTTTGATAAAACTGCAACCAAATATATTGGAAATGTCAGAAGAAAATCTCTATATCATAAAAATGAAAATGATACAAAATACAGAATTTCCTTACACTAAAAGCAGTTTTTTTCCAAATGGGTGCACAAGTGAAGCTAGCTGAGAGACGATATGGAGGAGGAAGAAGTTCAGTTAATTCGTGTTTGCAAAGACCCCAAGCTTCACTTACATCACCATGGTCATCAGCAACGACAAAGATCCTTGTTGGTTCCAAGAAACTAATTATAATTATCAGAAAATACATGTAGAATAAACCAACCATAATTGTACGAAGCATATATGTAGTAGTTTATTAGGAGGAGATATCTGAAGTTTTGCATCTGTGATAGGACATTGATTGACCAGAGAGACCTTGAATTCAACTTGAACAAAAGGAATGGCAAAATCAAAACCAGTGATGATGAATAAATTTTTCCCACCAATTATTTCGTGAAAATTAACTATTTGGTCCACTCCATTTCTCCTCTGTTTTTTACTCTCTCTCCTTTGATACCACAAACCATAACGTGAAAAATCATTTGTCCACGTGTGTGGATTCAGTTGATGCGTCCATGCCAACTATGAAAGGATAATTGAGGCCCATCAATTGAATCAACGGCTCAGAATCATTCGATGCTGGCATAAGCATGCGTATGAAGAATCCTCTTTGATTGCATTGGCAACCTCTCGTTCCTCATCCTCTATCTCTCAGGCCTCAGCCAGCACACAAACTCGGACTCTGCCACTGACAAAAACAGAAGCTCTCATTTTTCTTTCAGCTTAATCGAGAGATGACTCTCAACTTAAACTTACCCTCTCCTTTTCTTTCTAATTTCTCCACTCCACGCTTCTCAAAATTCTATGAAACCTTTCCCATCAACAGCAACGGCAACAACACAGCCGCGCTCTTGTCTCTTTTATTTGTCACCAGAAGCAGACCCACAACAATGTTGAGAAGTTTTAAAACGAGAGCTTCGTTAAGTGAAAGTGAAAACGGGGTCGTGGAGATTCTTGACGAGGAGTTGCTGAACAGAGTTTCGGGTGCTAAGGATGCAAATGAAGTGCTGGAGATGGTGGCTGAGAAGTCACAGATAAGTAGTGGGGTTGTGAGTGTTAATGAGTGTTGCTCCATAATTAATGCAGCCATTGATCGCGGCAATACTGACCTCGCTTTGTCTGTTTTCTATGCCATGCGCTCTACTTTTGATCAAGGTAAAATTTTTTGTCTTATTGCTGAGTTTTTCATCTCCGTAACGTTACTGAGATGATGTTTTGGTTTTAAGTATAGATATATATTGAAATATGAGTCCAATAACATTACTGGGCGTGGTGATGTAGTATGATCCAATTATGATTGTTAATGAATCGTTCTTTTTTTTTCTTTTATTAGTGTGATATGAATGCAATGACATTGTGGATATTGTGTACATGCATGGGCAGGTGTTAGTGAAAATGATACATTTGTTGATAGATGGAAATGGTCAAGGCCAGACGTAAGTGTATATACAACATTAGTTCAGGGTCTTGCAGCTTCATTAAAGGTTTCAGATGCTCTTAGATTGATTGAAGATATTTGTCGAGTTGGAGTTTCTCCTGGAGAGGAGGTATGATTATGAAACCATTCTTTATTTCACTTCTGCAGCAATTGTATTGAAACATAATGAGCTGTCTATGATCTATAAATATTGCAAATATTTGGATTTTTTATAGGTGCCATTCGGGAAAGTTGTGAGATGTCCAACTTGCTTCATAACTGTAGCAGTTGCTCAACCCCAAAATGGTATTCAGGTATATATTTATAGAAAATGATGCTACTTTATCTCTAATGTAGTCTATATGCACTGGAATGGAGAGTGGAATCTGCCAATAGTTTCCTAGTTAGCTCTTTAAGATGAAATCTGAACTGATGGTTTTTGTCTATTTTGTGCATTACTCCTCTGTTGGTATTTATATTTATCGAATGATTTAGATAACTCAGCTAGACAATCCTTTACTCCAATTACTCAAGTTGCAATTTGCCTGGTTTCCCACCTTCATATTTTATTGCTGCAGATTGTATCATGTGCCAAATGTCGCTACAAGTACGAGCTTGTCTCTGGTGACATTGTCAGTATTGACTCAGAAGAAATCAGGTTGGTTTGCTTCCATCTAGTTTGTTTTATGCAAGTGACTTATCCCTCACAAAACTCAATTAGTTTTTCCTCGGATTGGTAAATTTGTATTTTGTTTTGCTTTAATAACTTCAAACTTTTAGCCCATTGCTTATCTACAGTTTTTACAATAATAGAAGGTGCATTTCAAATTTCAATGTTGTTTTTGATGACACAATATAGTTGTGTATGGTGTTGATGCCGGGATATTCACTTTTCTAAGGAACTACTCCTGCCGAACGCAGCATGGATATTCCAGCATGGAAAAGGGGGCTAAGATTTTTGCAAATAGTGAAGCAAAGGATTCCTGCGGCTGTCCACTCTATTGTGGTATAATTTTCTTGATTCTAATTTGTCATGTTTTGATCTCACATTTACTATATGATCATTTATTAGTAGCGGATTAAACTGATACATTATTTTCTAATTATTTATGCTTGGTTGATTACACACTTCCTCTGTCCTCTTTAATTAACTCTTTACTTCTCTTTTTCCAGGTTCAGACTCCTTCTGGGATGGCACGTACACACAGGTTTGCTACTGAAACAGTTGATCTCCCGGCACAGGAAGGAGAAAGGGTAACTGTTGCTTCTGCAACTCCATCAAATGTCTATAGGGAGGTGGGTCCCTTTAAATTTAGTCCAAAGGCCCCTAACTTCTACCCTGGAGAACCTATGAGCTTGACAAACCACAAAGATGGAAGGGAATCACCATTATTGAGAGCCCCAACTAAAGATGGAAGCTCATCCTTACTCAATCCCTTCAGCCTCATCCCTTTTCTGGCTGTTCTGGCCACTGGAGAAGCTGCCTCAGGATTAATTGATCCTAGCTTACCTAAGTTCCTTTCAGTTGCTGCTGCATCTCTTGCTGTTGGAGCAACTTTAAATACTCTGGTTCTCCCTCAACTGAATAAGGTAAGCTAGTATCTTCTTGTTCTTGTATTATCTTTTCATTCAACTTTTGTTACCATTTTTAGTACTCTTGAGATTCCAAGCCTCTGTTAAGATCACTCATATATCCTGACTCATTCCAAGCCTTTGTTAATGAGTGGATTTACAAAATTTCACTGTACAATCATTTTCAAAGTGGCAGAAGGTCAGTACTTTGTTGATATGATGAAGAAAAGGTGTTTCTTCTTTTAGTTACAGTTTTTGTGGGTATTCTGGATAAACGCCACTCTACAATTGTTAAAAAAAAAAAAATGTCTGTAAGTATAGTGCGTAAGCATCCCAATCATAAGTAGTGCTATTGATTCCCAACAAAAGTTGGGGATACCTCTCTTTCTGTCTTCATTTTATGTTCAAACAGATGAACCTAAATTAAGTGAAGTCTAAGAATTCATGAGTTAATTCTAAAACCAGCCGGCTAGCTTGTTTAATTTGTTTTATTTCTCAAGCTGCTGTTAGGCTGATAATGTCAATCTGATAAGGGGATTGTAATAGCAATCGTGTTAGTTTCATATGCTTCTGAGTAATAAATTTACTATTCATGCAGAAGCCACTAAGGAATTTTCTGAGAGAACAGAAGTACATATTTCTTGTTTATTTATCTATTTATGGTGCCAGCTTCCTCAAAGGTCAGTGGATGCAATTGCTATCAAGCAGCAGCTTTTATCACAATATGACATGCTTCAGTCTCGTATCAAAGACCTAAAAGAAGCTGCTGAAAAAGAGGTATGCTTCTACTTTTCCAGTTAATTACTTGGGTTTTGGTGGCTACACCTAACAGCAGGCCTAAACAGAAACTCTGTATTGTAATTCATCACAATGGAAGTCTCTGCTTTCCTATTTCTATATGACAAGTTCCCAGATGTGCTATTCATTGAGAGGTTATCATATGTCATTGTGAATGATAATAACTATTCACTCCTTTCTCTTCATCTTTTCATTGATGCATGACTGATGTGATGTTATAGCAGAATTTGATTGATCTTGTGTGTAGGTTTGGATGTTGGCTCGGATGTGCCAGCTGGAGAACAAAATATATGCTGTAGGAGAACCTTCTTATCGGTGAGACCTCTGAACATTGCTAGAAGTCCTTGTACTTCATCATGGTTGCTGAACTTGATATGAGTTTTTAGTTAATTGACTATAAATTTGTCAAAGGGCATTGAAGGTCCTTGGATGAGATTACTGAGCTGAAACAGTCATTTCCTTTTTCCAGTGCTCGGAAAAGTAAAGTTAAGAGGGTGCGTGAAGGCTTGGAAAATTCCCTCAAGGGACGGATTGAACTGATTGACAGCTATGCAAGGGTATGCTTCTGAGTATGAGAATGATTGACTTGCCTCACCACCACCCTTAATATTGATTCAGTTTCCTCTCCATAGCGCAATCATTTAATACATATTGGTGAAATCAATTTGTCAGATTTCTTCTATGATCGAGATTGAGGTAGAAATGGATTCTGATGTTCTTGCTGCTGAAGCAGTGACCAGTGTGGTATGTGCAACATATTCATATAATTTCTTTTCTGTCTTAATTTACACTTGTAAAATTAATTAACAGAGTGATTCTTTATTGCAGGAAAGCATTTCCGAACAGATACAACAAATCATGGAAATTGAAAATCTTGAAGAGGCATGCTTTCTTCACTCCAGCATTTTTTCTCTTCTAACACAGAATTAATAAGTCGATCGAAAATGACCTGAATGAAACTGTTTAAGCAAAATTCAGACAAGGGCAATGCATGCACATAACACACCCAGTATAAAACTTTATTCTCCTAAATCTACTCTTAGTTTTTCCTTGCAATTTTCTTTCTAGTATGATCATGGTAATGTTGTAATCCCTTTGAGGTTTTCGTGCATCATGCATAGTCTTGCTGGTTGGACTTCATGATTTTCCACATTTGATGCAGAAATGGAGACTGCAGGCTGAAGCAAATGATGAGGCAGAAAGACTCATTAGTTCCCAACCTATAAACCCCACAGAACAGATTTAGATATCTCACTGAGAACTGTTGACAAAACTAAGACCACTTTGCTTAGTGTTACAACCTGTTTTTCCTGAACTCATCGTTAGATCGGTGGAAAAGTTGAGTGCCAACTCATCGTTCATGAACATCAGACAATGTTGGGCAATACTATGTTTAACCAATAACTGGAGAAGAATCTGAATTTATGCAAATATTGGAAATGGAGGATGACTGGATCAGGTATTAAGAGCTTGATTTTGGCACAGATAAAGACCTGTCCCAGTGACTTGAGTAACTTGATTGAAATTACAAAATCATGCTTATAATGTGCATTAATGTTACTTGTGAATTGAAATTGTGAAATTGCTTTCTTCATTCGTCAAAGATTTCTTGAATGATTTCAAATTATTGTACGGAATAAAAAATATTCATTGAGAGTGAACAATTGTATAATATACTTAAAAAGTTGTATGATGTCTTCTGTTGCCTTCTCAATCATATAGTTCTGTGGTCATACAGATTCCATGATACATCTCCTGGCTCCGAATAAGTAATCTGTTCGTCCTTAAGATTGGCTGACAAGACAAATTTAGAGATAAAAGAAATACGCAGTGGATGAATATCAGAAGGAATACACAGCGGATGTATTCTGTGCGGTTTGCAGGTGCTAGCATCAGCCATGGAGTGAGGTAATTAGATATAAACCTGACCTTCTCCATCATCGCAACAGATCCCCATGTAGAACAAACCGAACCATTGATACAAGGTGGAAAATTATTGTACGGAATCTAAATTATTCATTGAGAGTGAAGAATTACAAGAAATCCTAAACTTGTGTGCTGTCTTCTGTGGTGGCCTTTCTGAGATCATACAGTTAATTTTGTTTAACATGGTACAGATATTTTGGTCCAATGTTCTTATTATGGGCAGGCTTGACTTATAATTGCATTGTTTATTGCCTAATTCATAACCACATCCACAAGGAACCTGTAATCAGTAGGAGGATTTGGTACACTGACTAAATATGTATTGTTTAACCATCAAATCACTGGTGTCACTAATCTGCTGGTCCAAGTAATCCATGGAGCTAAGTTAGCTGGTATAAACTATAAGTTAGTTGGCTGGGTCGGTGGTTGGTGGCGTGGGAATTCAAACTCAAAACTATTAAATAAACCAATCCAATCCAATCCCTTCTTCTTCTTGTTTCTACTTTCCTTTTCTTTTTTCCAAGTCAAGAATCACGCAGGTCTTCTCTAAAGCACCGTCATCCTCTAGTTCCCTTACATTTGTAAAAGCTTTCTTTAGAATATAAGATACAAAGCACATGCAAAGCAACCCACATCCTTGAATTATGATATTATTTTATGAAAAGGCGAAGTAAAAAAGATTTGATGTCAACCTCGGTACTCAATAGAATAATTCATTTTCCCTTTTCTTAAAGCCCACTCTGGTGAGCATGGGTAGTGGGTAGAACCGAAATCTACTCAAAATCAATACTATATGGTTCTTGTTCCAATTCCGGCTCCTGCTTGGAACCTATTGTGTTTTGGTTTTGATGAATAAATTTTATGTGAATCGATTGAATTCAAGTATTGCCTAGGGATTAGAGGATTTAAGAGTCACATTAGACACAAATGAATGAGTAATCAAAGTTAAAAACTACTAAATGTAAGTTTTCTTAATTTGTTAGGGTTGTATTTGTAAACTTTTAAGGTATTTTTGTCATTTTTTAAATTAATTGGGGGTGATTAGTTTTTTATAGGATACCCAGGTAAGGAACCAAAACTTGCATTTCAGGTTCCAATTTCTTGAATTTAAGAATTGAAATCGACAGGTTTCAATTCCAGTTCTTTTTTTTTTAAAACCTTCTTTGTGCGGTTCTGATTCTCTCAAAAAATGCAAGGTATCCGAAGCCGTTCACCCTTAATTGATGACTATTCATAAATGATAAACCCAACCGAATCCTTTGTGTATTGTCTTTATTATTATTATTTCAAAAGGACTCGCTTTTTGTTTGTGTTCCAAGGCGCTTCCAGCGGCAAATTCTGGAGTATTCACTCAATCACCATGATTGATGAACCTTATTCGCACCTTCCGTGTTCTACTTATCCACCACCGTTTCATGTAAAGGGCACAATAACTCTATTGATATTAAAGATGGAAAGGTTGAAGAATCAATTCTGGATAATCTTCTTTCCTTTTATCCTTTTCAACATTCCATTATAAATCAATTGGGCCCAATTTTGGTAGTATTCACCCACTTTCCGAAAAATCAATTATTTTTTAAACAAATCCGAATCAATTTGTGTATATCTCGACTAATCTACATAAATGATTAGTATAACATTCCACCGTCATGATCCTTCACATAAATCTTAGGAAGATTTAAACATGAGATCGCACGTCTAAACCACCAATCTACTTTCAGTAAACATGTTTAGACTGTTACAACTAGTATACATGCCTCTTAATAAAACTAAAAAGTTATAAAGAAAATAAAAATAAAAAATGTTTATGGCAAGACTATAGGTTAAAATTTTATTCAAAGTTTTGGGTGAATGAATTTCTTGGAATAACCAAATTACATTTTAGTCATTTTCTTTTACCTTCATGTGCTGGCTGGCCGCCCCTAAACTTTATTCTGTCAAGACAGGTCAAAACTATTAATTGAACAACCGAAAGGCGAAACTTCTAGATAAAAGACAGTTTTAATTGACGAAAAATACCCTAGAAAGATACATGTAGGGTGGACACCTGCATTATCACAAGGGTAGTACGGTCAAATCATCGGCGTCACGAAATATGACAAGTCCGAGAAAGCAGTAACCCCACTCTCCCACCACGTAATCTCAACAGTTAACCTCAATGAGGTCCACACTTCGACTAATGAAATATCTCCACGTGTCCGATCCTCTTCTCTCGAAGCGTAAGGAATATTGTGTCTTTTTCATTAATAGCCTTTACTATTTAAATGATTCTCCGCCAAGGTCCTTTCCCTATAAATCGTCGTCTCTTTCTCTCTTCCTTTTCAATTCAAGTCTTCGCAGTCCAACCCACAGTTTAAAACTTTGTAAAATTCCCTTTTCACTTCTCTTCTTCAACTTTCAATTTCTAACATGGGTAAGAGCGTCTTGGTCACCGGTGGCGCCGGTTACATTGGGAGTCACACGGTGCTTCAGTTGCTCCTGGGCGGTTATAAGACCGTTATTGTCGATAATTTGGATAACTCTTCTGAAACCGCCGTCACTAGAGTGAAGCAACTTGCCGGTAATTTTGGGAGCAATCTTACTTTTCACAAGGTTGGTTAAGGTTATAATTTCCTTTTTAATTTTTTTTTTCTTTTGGGTTTTGTAGAACCGTTGGGAAAGGAGAAAAGGTTTAATTTTTATTTTGAAAGCTTCAATTTTTTAATATATTGGTTTCGCAAGCTGTTTATTCGCGCCAAAACTTGTAGAGTTTAGAAATCAATTAAGTTAATTTAATTGGGATTATGTGTTTTAATTAGAGAGGTAATTAGTTCATCGGATTAATTTTTTTTATTGGTGTTTTAATTCCTTGAAATTCAGGCTTTCTTTTGGTGATATTTTGAATTCAGCCGAGTGTTTGATTGAAAAATACTCGCTTTCTTTCAACTGATGTTATGGCTCACTCCTTTAGTTAGATTAATCTATCAATGGGTTTTTTCTGAAGCATTTGGTTCTCTTTTGATTATGGGTTTGTTTTGATTAAAGTTATCATCACGTATTGACCAAAATTAACGGTCCTGATGTTAAAAGTTATGCTTATTTGCAGTTTGATCTCCGGGACAAGCCAGCACTGGAGAAATTGTTTTCCAAAACAAAGTACTGTCCCACTTCCATGATAAGCTTTCTCTTTCGCTATTGTTAAAATATTAGCTTTGTAGAAACTGGTTGGTTCTGTTATGTTGCCGGTGAATGTATTTTGCAGCATTTTTTTTCCACTTTGGTGGACATGTGCTGTTGCTGTATATATTCTCCTTGTCAGTATTCTTTCCATTGGCAATGTCAAAACATTTTTGGTGGCATTTTGCATGTGGATCATGGCATTATTGTCCCATCATGTTGGTCCTCTTCAGAACTGGATTATAAATCAATGAATATTAATTTTTTTAATACCCATAAATGAAATAGTAAAATGAAAAAAAAAAAAAAAAAATCAAAGATGAAAGATTTTTGTTTGATTTGACTTGGTTAGATTTTAACACCTGAAAACTCTACAAGAACAAAGAATTTATCTTCTGTTTTGTTCTCTTTCTCATTTTTTTTCCTGTCTGCACTTCAGGTTTGATGCTGTCATCCACTTTGCTGGACTGAAAGCCGTTGGGGAAAGTGTGCAGAAACCATTGCTCTATTATAACAATAATCTTATGGGAACAATTGTTCTTCTGGAAGTTATGGGTGCCTATGGGTGCAAAAATGTATGCTTGGCATATTATATATCTTCACTGAATGATTTCATCATCAATTTTATAAGTTATTTACTTTTAAGTTTCAAGTGTTTTTCCCCTCAAATATGTTCACTAATTTATTTTGTTACCAATGTTATGGTTTTCATGATATTGTTCTTGCCTTACTGTTATGATACGAGTAACCTGATCTATCTTTAAATTTTGAAACATCTTCAGCTGGTTTTTTCATCATCAGCTACTGTCTATGGTTGGCCAAAGAAAGTTCCATGTACAGAAGAGTTCCCCCTGCAGGCAGCAAACCCTTATGGGCGTACCAAGGTATGTGTTGTCCATAACACCTGAAATATGAATGTGTCATTATGGAAAGCATATAAAGAACATTTGGAATCAGTTGTAAATTTGCTGATTTAGGTTGTGTGGTCTGTTGAAATTATCTAATGTTTTTTTGTTTGTAAACTTTAGGATTAAGCGTCTTCTATTGTATAATCTTTTTATGAGAATCTGACCTGATTGATTTTTCAGCTTTTCATTGAAGAGATATGCTGTGATATCCATCGTTCGGGCCCTGAATGGAAGATTATATTGCTAAGATACTTCAACCCTGTTGGTGCACACCCAAGTGGTGAAATTGGTGAGGATCCACGTGGAATTCCAAACAATCTTATGCCTTTTGTGCAGCAAGTTGCTGTTGGCAGGCGTCCGGCCCTGACAGTTTATGGAACTGATTATTCAACCAAGGATGGTACTGGGGTATGCTTTTTAGATATGCTTTCTATATGTATTATCTGTGCATACATGGTATATAATGCAAATTGAGGATTGATTTTGATGGCACTTGGATCCTTTCAGGTTCGTGATTACATTCATGTTATTGATTTAGCCGATGGCCACATTGCTGCATTGCAGAAGCTTGATGATCCTAGTATAGGTATGTGTTCAAAATCAGTACTATTTTCTGTTTAGATATTAATTTGTCACTTACAGAAGCTTAAGTAAATTAGGTGCTTTTGGTAATTCCTTTCTGGAAATCAGTTTTTTATTTGATATTGTATGATGGCATATTAGATATGTTAAGCATTTGAAGGATACCTAAACACCCCTGAAATTGCTTAATGTGCTATATGCCATAAGAATATCTGTCGTAATTTGTAGTTACTCATTATATTGGTAGTGTTGAGTCATCCCTCTTTTATTTTAATTACAGTTCCTTTGTAAACAAATCAAATACCTGAAGGCATACACCTGGTTGTGTCCATGGTTAATATTTTGTATAATTGCCCTAAATTTCAAATGCAATTTTCAAGCACTACAACTTTTTGGGGCAAAACTTGGTTTGTCTCTGGAATTTGAATTTTGAGCTGATAAAATTTACAAACTTGGTTTGTCTCTGGAATTTGAATTTTGAGCTGATAAAATTTACTTTGTATTCCTATTTAGAATATGGATTCCTCAGTCATCTTGCAGATTTGTTACTCTTTAATAGCAAGGTTCCAATTTCTTATATAATTCTTATCCGTCTCTGTACAGGTTGTGATGTATTCAACTTGGGAACTGGAAAAGGAACATCGGTTTTGGAGATGGTTGCAGCATTTGAAAAGGCCTCTGGAAAGGTGTTTTCTCTAATCTTATTTTCTTAAGCTACAGTTAAATTATATGTGACTCTCGAGTCTTCTAATATCTTGTTTGGTAGATATTTGGTAAATTTTCATGTAAATGTACTCCAATTCCTTGAATTAAATAAGTTTGTATTAATTCTGTAAGGCAAACTATGTAAGGCACACTATGGGAAGAACCTGTTCCTTGTTCTGCATATCACATTATCTTGTTTTTTCTTTTAATTAATGCTCTTTCCATTGACTGGGTTGCTTCAGAAAATTCCTATTGTAATGGCTGGAAGGCGACCTGGTGATGCCGAAATTGTTTATGCATCAACAGAGAAAGCAGAACGTGAATTGAATTGGAAGTAAGTTCTAATATCTTTGCACATCTATCCTTTGAATGCTGAGTATCTAAGTTACCTACCCACGTTAGGCCTTTGAACACTTGCCATAATGGGTGCTGTTCTTTGTAACAAATTGAAGGGCAATAATTTGAATTGTATCTTTCACTTTCAGGGCAAAATATGGCATTGATGAGATGTGTCGGGATCAGTGGAACTGGGCGAGCAAGAACCCTTATGGTTACGGATCTCCTGATTCTACTAACTGATCATCAAGATTCTTCATCATCTTTTAACTCCACTGTCTCTAGTTGTCATTTATGTAAACTAAATTAGCATATACATTAGAAGTGTTTAATCCGAGAACCATTGTGGTGTCTGTTAACCTATCACTATAAAGTGTCCAACCAATGCTGCGTTCGGTTGCTTTCTTCTGGTATGAAAATTCCAGTAGATATATATGTACTTTGCAGTAAATTGTTATCCCTCAATATATTTTAGGTGCACATCAGTGTCACCAATTTAAGTAAAAAGTTTCTCCCTTCCATTCTTATTCTCATGTTGTAACTGTACCTGTTTCATTTCTTCAATATGGGAATTCTGATTCGAAGGTCTGCAATTGGACCTTACTGTTTTTGTTGACCTTCTCTTACAATTGTTGTGAAATGGCTTTGCCAATCTTTGTTCATAATCCTATTCTGTCCCAACGATAGTACTCCTTCAACCTTTCACAGAGGCCAATTTATCTATTTATCTTAAATTTTGTGATCCAAACTGTCCCCGCTCCGAATATCATGGCCCCATGAAATGACACCCAACAAGCATTCGATGCCCTTGGGCTGTAATTTAAACGGTAAAGAACAAAGAATCAATGATATAATCATAAATTAATAGAATAAGAATCAGAAAAAGGAGTTTGGTTCCTTGAACAAATTGCAAAATTGTGCCGTTGGGTTTAAAATATTTGAACCTAAATCATGGTGGACCATGCTTCAAACGGATGGTTTCAAATTTGAAAGACACCCACTGTAATTTGAGGCTGGCATGGCAACACACCACCCAAATAATCCATCACCCTTTTTCTAATAAAAAAGGAAAATTAAGGGATCAATTTAATATAAAAATAATGGTTTTGAATGGAATTTGTTCTTACCAATTTAATTAATCAATGATATTTACTTTATATAGAAATTTAATGCATAAATTTTCAATTAGACCCATAATAAAAAAAAATATCATGTCTTTATTGTTGTATAAAGTTCGATTAACATAATTAATGTAAAATGTTATATTTTTAATTATAAATGTTATTTTACTTATTTGTAAGTAAAATAACATTAAATAATTAGAACGAATTAAAAATAGTGTGAATAGATGCATATTTTCAAGTTAAAGTTCTTATTAAGAATCCATCGTGAATTAGTTGAGATTATAAAAAAGTAAAATGTTATCTTTTTAATTATAAATTTACATGGATGTTTTTCTTTAATAAGTCGTGTTTTTCTTTAATAATTAGCAATTAAAAAATAAAATAAAAAAGGATAAAAAATTAAGTTGAAGTAAAGAGACCAAAAATGCGACTAAGCAACGAAAATATCGTGAGACGAGAATCTTGTTAAGCGTAACCGGCTTTGTAGGTCCATTGTCGTATTAGCCGGTCACCGGTTCAGCTCTTTTCGTTTCAGTACAAAAACGACAAACCAAAAGACTAGTAAACGCGCTTTGTTTGCATTTCACCAGCACCCCCTTTTCGTTCAAACTTCAAATTCTCTATTTCTTTCATTATCGTGCCGGCTAAGCTAATTAAATCGCAGATCTCTCTATAATACGTCGCCGTTTACTCTCCCGAGTTGTCAGATCCAGTTGATCTGAGACTGACAGCTATCTTCTGCCGTCTGTTATTTGTTTAGCTTTCAGAAATGGAGAACTTGATTACTTTGGTTAACAAAATTCAAAGAGCTTGCACGGCTCTCGGTGACCATGGAGAAAACAGTGCGTTGCCAACTCTTTGGGACTCTTTGCCGGCGATTGCCGTTGTCGGTGGTCAGGTCAGCTTTATATTTTTCATTTTATAAATTTTTTTTATTAACTGTTCTATTATATCTTGCTTGATATTCTTTTTTTGGTTTGTTTTTGTTTTTGATCTGAGCTGTGTGTTTTTCAACAGAGTTCAGGAAAGTCTTCGGTGTTGGAGAGCATTGTTGGCAAGGACTTTTTACCTCGTGGATCTGGTATTATAAATAAATCTTTTGATACTTGTGATGATGTCTAACTTATTGTGTTTTTATTTTCGTGAATTGAGTGACATTTGTAAAATATGCAGGGATTGTTACGCGGCGTCCTCTGGTTTTACAGCTCCATAAAAGCGATGAAGGAAGTAGAGAATATGCTGAGTTTCTTCATCTCCCTAGAAAAAGATTCACTGATTTTGGTACAAAACTTTTCTTTATTATGAACATTTGATCCATTTTAAGATGTAATTTTGATCAGTAGTTGTCAGTTTTGTTTTTACTTTTGTGTAAATTTTTATTCTATTTCACACGTTAATGTAGCTATAATTAATTTTTGTAGCGGCTGTGAGGAAGGAGATTCAAGATGAGACTGATCGAGAGACTGGCCGCAGCAAGCAAATTTCCAGTGTGCCAATTCATCTTAGCATTTATTCTCCGAATGGTAACTATGTCCTCATCCTTTAGTGCGGTCTCATTATCGGGTTTGATTGTATGAAGCCTTATGTTTTCTGCTCTTAGCTTCATTTACAGTTATACTAGTTAAATGTCTGTCAATCATGGCTTTCTCATAAACCCATAGGGGAGGATTGAATGGTATGACCATTGGTTTTCAAATAAGAGGGTCAGAGGTCCAAATTCTCTTGAAGTATAAGTTATTTGTTTGCTTGTGATATCTAAACCTTTGTACTTTTCTGAACTTTTGCAGTTGTCAACTTGACTCTGATTGATCTTCCTGGGCTCACAAAAGTCGCAGTTGGTAAGCTACAATTATTTTAGATATTATACACTAGTCATTTACATACATGCATTCTTCATCCTAAGTAGCGTTAGGAGGAAAAAAAAAAAAAAAAGAGAGAGAAAAGAGAGGTGAAAACTAAGATCCGCATTTTCGCTCTTCTCAGAAACTAATAGTATGACTCAACTAAGTTTTGTAATTCTTTGACTAGTTCACATCTCCATATCAATTAGTTAGCAGTTGCAAACTTCAGTGCCTGCGTTCTTTTCCTTAATGTAGTCACAAAAAGACTCAACTTAGCTTAAATAATTGCTATTTCCAAACTAGTTTTGTTTAGCTACATAAATATCTTTTTTGGTTCTTTGCTATGCATGATCATATATTGTCTAGCTGTTTAAAATAAAGAATGAAATGAGCCTTAATCCTCAGCATGCGTTATGTGATAGAACTAAGAGATTGTCTTTGATAATGCAGAGGGTCAACCAGACAGTATTGTGCAAGATATCGAGAATATGGTTCGCTCCTACATTGAGAAGGTAATTACATTCCAAGACTGGAATTATTTTGTATGCTTAGGAATACCAATTGATTTGGATGAAAAGTTTACTTCTTTTAAGATGATTTATTTCTTTTGCTAATACAGTTAAAATTATGCAAGTTTGATTTATGCTGGGAGAAAAGCTAATGTTGTTGCACTATTCTCTTTCCTGTATCTTTTATGCAGCCAAACAGTATAATTCTTGCAATTTCGCCTGCCAATCAAGATCTTGCCACATCTGATGCAATCAAAATCTCCCGGGAAGTAGACCCTACAGGTAATTTCAATATTTGCTTTCTAGGAAGCTACAACCTTTGTTTTCCTTTATGCCTCATATTTGCAGTTTTCTGAGTTTGGTTATGTCCAGCTAAGAAAAAAAATCTTGTAAATGCTAAAAAAAATTGCAAGCTATATTGTTATCTGCCATCATATGTGAAATTTATTAACCCTTTAACCTGAACCTGAATGTTGATGGTTTTTCAGCGTTTGGTACAAATGATCCTGTAGATGTTTTAGTACTTAATTCATCTTTAAATTTTTCAGGTGACAGGACAATTGGGGTCCTTACAAAGATTGATCTTATGGATAAGGGTACTGATGCAGTTGATGTAAGTCAGATTAATTTCTTTTCCAATGGCATTACTAATTGGTATTTCTTTCTCCTAAACAATTTTCCTAAATAAAATCTTCTTTAATGATACATGAATGTTTTTGTTATTTGATATTGGTATAACAGGATCTAAAAATGTCACTTATGTTCCACTTCATCTTTAAAAATATTTTATTAAAGAAAATTAGCATTTTTATAATCATTATTACAGCTGATTCATATGATGCTGAAATAGCTGATTCATATGATGCTGAAATAGCTGAACTCTTCTTTTATTTCCTCTTTCCCCACCACCTGGCTTCCACTGTCTTCAAGTCATCCGAAGTTTTTTCTTTTTGTTGTGTCTGATACAAAAAGGAAATTAAGTTTCTTTCCTTGAGATTAGAGTTTTATAGTTTGATGCACCTATTTGCATAAGATTGTGGCAACATGCTATTTTATCATGCAGTGATGTTATAGTTTACAATTAGAATCATCTAATGCCTTTTGCATAATTACATTCGGAATTATATTTTGGCTTTGCTTAGATATTGGAAGGAAAGTCTTATCGGCTAAAATTCCCATGGGTGGGTGTTGTGAACCGATCACAAGCTGATATCAACAAGAATGTTGACATGATTGCTGCTCGGCGTAGAGAGCGTGACTATTTTAATAGTAGCCCGGATTACAAGCACCTTGCACACAGGATGGGTTCTGAGCATCTAGCAAAAATGCTTTCAAAGGTAGGCAAATGAAATTCTGAGATTTTAATAATGTTTTGGTTGGATACAACTGAAATTTTTATTTTGTTCTACACATTTGCATTCGTAATAATAACTCTTAAGGACAATGGTTATATCTCAGCATCTGGAAACTGTAATCAAATCCCGAATCCCAGGCATCCAATCGCTTATTAACAAAACAATTGCAGAGCTAGAATCTGAACTGAGTCGTCTTGGAAAGCCTATAGCTACTGATGCAGGAGTAAGTGTACACTTTTGTTGTGTTTGCCATTTCATTTTAAAGTGTTCCTCAATAAAAAATTCTGCTGCGCCTGCTAATGGTTGATGCTTATGACATGTAGGGAAAGCTATATATGATCATGGAGATTTGCCGTCTTTTTGATCAAATATACAAGGAGCATCTTGATGGAGTGTATGCATCATACTTTGTTCTTTTCACCTCAATCCTTACTGGCTTGGCTCTTTATTCCTTCTATAGTTTGTCAAGTAACTGTTCCATAAGTTTCTCTTATTTATAAGTTTGTTTTTTCACAGGCGTCCTGGTGGCGACAAAATTTACCATGTCTTTGATAACCAGCTTCCTGCTGCTCTCAAAAGGTTGCAATTTGACAAGCAACTTTCAATGGACAATATTAGGAAGCTTATTACTGAAGCTGATGGGTATCAACCTCATTTAATCGCTCCTGAACAAGGATACCGCCGGTTGATCGAGTCTACCTTGGTTACTATCAGAGGTCCAGCTGAGGCATCTGTTGATGCGGTATGCATGAAAATTCAGGAAGATCATTTTTAATATTCAACTTGGCATGAGTGAATTTTTTATGTGTATATATGTTCTCTCCCATGTTGTCTTTCTTTCTTTCCTTGCTTTTTCCCTTTCAATTTTATTTTCTCCAATTTGGTAAGATATGAATTTATGACATACACAACTGACTCCCCATCCATTCCCCATTTGAGATAAAGCCTGGAAGTATTATTTCCTTTTGCCCCCCTGTAATTGGCCACTCAGAGTGAACCCTGTAAGATAGATTTTATGGTATCAGTTGGCATCACCCTCTGCTATGGCCAAATAATGTTTTTTAATCGTTTTATGATTTGGTTTCTGTTAGGATCCCACATTGGAAGGGAAAATGATTGGCATGTCGGTTATAAAGGACTTGGGCACCCTCCCTTGGCAAGCCGGTTTTCCAAGGAGAGTTTTACTCAAGCTGACAAAAGGCCCATTGCTTAGCCCAATTGTTTGAGTTGTTAGATGGGTCTCTATCAGTTTCGGATTGCATTATTTTTTTGGATAAGCTCGTCAAGTGTTTATATGCACCATCTTTTTTTCTCCCTCGTTGATTTTTGTGTTAATCAATTTTTGATGTCTAGTCTTATATCTATTATCACCTTAATTATTCTTTTCATGTAGATATCTATGTTGACAAATGAAGAGTGATTTAGAGAACTACTTAATAATGTTGTAATGCCTTTGTTGTGAGTTGTGACTATTAGTCCATTTAGTTATATTTACATGGAATTTTGTGCCACACTGGCTGTAATTCAAACCTGGTAGACTGAACGTTGTTTTGCTGTTACTATGAAACCCAAAATGAGCTTTGTTGTTAATAATGTTGGTAGCGTCTAGACAATCCCTCACTTTTTCCTTTTAGCATGTTTGGGAGTCTTTAGCTGGTGGGATTTATATGTGGATATGTAACACCTCACAACACTAAATTCTCCATTATGTAGGTTCATTTTGACAGTAGTAGCTGGCTTTTCAAATTAAATAGTGCATTGAATTTATAGAAAGCTGCAGGTGCGAAAATTATGGGGGATTAAGTATAATTTTTAATTTTTGAGTGGAGAGAAGTTAAGTTGTTGTTTACTGGCCGAGTATAAAGCTGGAGGATGGGCACACAACTAATTTTTATGCTAAATTTGAATTTCTAATGTTGTTGATTTTTCTTTTTAATATCTGAGCCATTGATGCACCACTTTGCTCAAACTTCAAGTGGTTAATTTTGTTTATCTAATTTCCAGGTCCATGCTCTATTGAGGGAACTGGTTCACAAGGCTATTAGTGAGACTGCAGTAAGTTCCTGCAATGCTTTTTCATACTGTTTCTAGCATATTTTTTCTAGTTCATGCTTTCCTAGAATATTTTAAATGCTCCTTTAACTAATGGCCTTATTTCAAGAATTAGTAATGTTTGACAGTATGCAAAATTTATTTGGACTCTATAAAGTTGACTTAGTAAATTTATACTGCATGGTTAAGTGCTCTTGTGAAAGGATTTTCTCACTTTAAAACAGCTACATGGACATAGACTAGAGACTTTCATGCATGAGAAGGAACAAAAAATAAGAAAGTTTTGCAAAACCCTGACCATTTACGATTTAGGTTTCTATCAGAATCAGTTTGAAGCATCCTATGAACATTGATGCATTGTGTTTGGTATTATTAAGAGTTGTAAGAGTCATTTCTCTTAGCTCTTAAGTTGTATTAAAGACTTCAGGTGCTTTTTATCATCCATTTGTTTTGCCTTGGGTTGATAAATTCTTCAAACCGTTATAAAATCATTGTTTTGCTTGAATCAGGAGTTAAAGCAGTATCCTGCTCTCAGAGTAGAGGTCGGAAATGCAGCTATTGAGTCACTAGACAGAATGAAGGAGATGAGCAAGAAAGCAACACTTCAGCTTGTTGATATGGAGAGTAGTTATCTGACCGTTGATTTCTTCCGAAAGCTTCCTCAGGATGTTGAGAAAGGCGGCAATCCAACACATTCAATTTTTGATAGATACAATGATTCTTATCTGAGGCGAATTGGTAAGTTCTATGTGGACACTTCTGAATGTGGCATTTATCTTATTCTATCTCTTTTAGCATTTGTTATCTGACAATTGAAGAATGCAGAAGTTGCCAGAAAATCTAGGTAATCCGCAACTGATTATGGACACTCTTTTCTTTACATATGAACAGGAACGACAGTTTTGTCTTATGTCAATATGGTCTGTGCAACTCTGCGGCATTCTATTCCCAAATCCATTGTTTATTGTCAAGTACGTGAGGCTAAACGAAGCCTTCTTGACCATTTCTTCACGGAGTTGGGTGCAATGGAGGTGAGACGGATCCCCTGAACTGATATATTTACTTAAAAAGTTTCTCGAAAAGATTTGCAATTCTTGATTTTGAGCAAATGATTGACGTTATCGATACTGAAAAATTGTGCAGCAAAAGCGATTGTCATCACTATTGAACGAAGATCCAGCAGTCATGGAGCGACGCAGTAGCCTTGCTAAGAGGCTGGAGTTATACAAGAGCGCACAAGCAGAAATTGATACAGTTGCTTGGTCAAAGTAGATTCGCAACATTTTTGCGGTCCCTTTTTAGCTCACCCAATTTGGCTGGCTTGACGACGTTGTCATTCTTTCATTTATGACAAGAAGCAAAATACTAGGGAGGAGGTGGGAGGTGTATTTGATTGTATTGTATTTGAATGTGCTAACGAGTAGCGAAGATGTGATTAATCATCTTCTATTGGATGAAATTGTTTTTCGTTTTGACAGGCTACACTTATTATATATATATATCTTCATTATAATATACGAATTTTTTGGCTTCTGTATTGCAGTATAAATGTATGTCTAAATAAATTCTGCATAAGAATTGTCCAATGAAACTTGAGAAATATTCCAATAATTCATCTTCGCTATTTTGCCAATAAATTTGTGTCTAATAAAGGCATGATAAAATTGGACAAAAAATATAAGAGGAATTGAAAATCAATTTTGTAAGTTATAAATAACAATAAATTTTGTATCTAATTTTGTGAAGAATATGTGTAATATTATATTAAAGGTTTAAGATGAAATAAAATATTTATCTAAAGTTATTTGAGATATGATTTATGTTTTAGAATTATTACTGTATCTTTAAACTTGCGTGTGTACATAATAACTCGTTAGCATGAACATCTCTTTGTTAAAGCCAAAATATTTATGGTTCCGTTTGATTCACTTTTTTGTATTTTTTAGAAAAGTTTTTTGAAAAAGTTAAAAAAAGTTGAATTGAGTGGGTATTACGATGTAGGATTTGGAAATTAATAAAATATCTCCTATGTTTGTTTATTTACTAAACACCCCTATAATAAAATTTTGAAAGTTAACAAAAATATCTCCAACCCACCCACCCACCCATTGAATAATCACAATCGGCCACCACCATCGGAAGGTGGCCGGAGTCGCCGTATTGGCGCATGATCGGCTGGATCTTGCCGGTCGTGCGCCGATATGGCCTTTGCCGGCCAGATCTACGGTTAGATCTGGTCATTGACGGTCAGATCTGGTCACATTTGCTCGTCAACGATGGCCAAAGATACGGTTGTCGTTGATGGTCAACAACGACCATATGTTGGCCGTCATTGATGTCTGGTTACGGCCAAAGATCTGACATTTTCCGGCTAGATCCACTATGGATTTGGCCAGAAAAAGCTAGATCCACCGTGGATCTGGTCGAAAAAGGCTAGATCGGGGCATTACTGGCCAGATTCAGCTGGTAGTGCGCCATTATATCAGATTCCGGGCTAGAATCTGGTATAATGTGGGTTTATGGGTGTTTTTGCAATTTCAAAAAAAAATATTCAGGGGTATTTAATTAAATTAACAAATTTAGGGGGTTTGAAAAAAGTTGAATAATATTGGATAATATTATGAGTTGTTGGGCATTTTATTGTTTAACTTTTTTGGGAATACTAATAATAGTATTCCCAAAAACCAACCAAACGGAGCCTATATGTTTTCAAGCATATTTAGAGTTTTTTGGGATGAAATTATGTGTATCTCTAATCTCTTCTATCAATATATATACGATGGATTTGACATATTCTATTAATTAATTATTAATGTAGTATATACATTACCTCTGTGCCACATGCACTAAGGATAATTAAGTCAAAACAATAATTTTTGTAACTACACCTTTATTAGAATCTTCTTATACAAATAAAATTAGTTTAGTCTAGATAAATTATATTATATATATTTTATTTTATTTTATCTAAACTTATATGAAAAAATTATAAAAAATATTAATATTTTAGCGTAAAGATAGAGTTAAAAGAATTTTGATATATTTTAAATTAGCCAAATTTTTATTTGTTTATGCTTTAAAATGGATATTTAAGATAATATGTAAAAGGAGTAAGTAATTGATCTACCATATGCAGCGGAAAACAAAAATTCAATCGGTAAATTAATTATATTTCTTTGCCTAAATCCGAGTATAGATTATGCCGTTTACATGTTTATAAACAAAAATCTATATAAAGTAAATCCATTCAATGATTAGAATACTTACGTACGTTTGGAGGCTCCTTTGAATATCTCTGATTTCGGACAGAGATACTATTCACTAATACTGTTCACCATCTACTATTCACGTGATTTTTCGCCAATCGATCCAAAGTAGGATCACACTCACGGAAGTCCACACGAAGATAATCCACAGAACCCTTGATTATTTTGTTAGAATAATCAAGGGCTTCAAGAATAAAGAAAGAAGAACAAGAAAAGTTTTCTTCTTGAGAGAGAGAGAGAGAGAGATAGGGTGGCTAGGGTTTTAATTGAATGAATAATTCTTAAATGTTTTAATTTTAAGTTACACTTATATAGTGCAAGAATTAAAACCCTATTTCACGTTGGAATAGTCATGGGCTCCAACCCTAGTTCACCCTTGCAACCAAACACACCCTTTTATGGTATTTCAATCAATTAATTAATTATTATAATTCAAAATCAATTAATATATAATAATATATTAACATTTAATTAATAATAATAATTCATTTAAATATATATAGAGATATATTTAAATATAATCTCACTAATTTAATTTTAATATTAAAATTAAATATAGGCAACAACCTCAGCAAATTTAATTGCACTGTGAGATTACCAAAATACCATTTCGTCCTAATAGACAAAAATGCCCTTCTCACAAATTGATTCTTAAATTATCTTCTAAGTGTGTGACTCGTAGGCTCCTCATCATATCGGCAGTGTGTAGTATCACGATTAACACCAATTAATCGTCTTACTACACATAGACTAAGATTGACCCCTAGTAAGGCATCATGGCCACCCAATAGATTCGAATTCAGCGAAACCGCAGCCTGTCAATGGTATGGTTACGTGCAATTAAATCTTTTCATCAACTGTTATCTCATCAAGACTGAGATACATAAATAGTGTCAACCTCAGATATTCTCGACATGTTTGTATTCAGTTAACGGACCAATGATCGGAATAATAAATTGGATTGAGCATCAACTCAATCACACTATGGCCACAGATTTAATGTCATTGCCATTTAATGAATTACCCAGTGAGATAACTTCTTCCGTACTCAGAAGTGATAAATCCTTTGTCGATCCACCATAGTCTCGATACACTTCTCAATGTAGCCAATCACTACCGTATTGATAGCTCTGAATAGAACTACGTTGGGCTAGTGTCAAACTACATCAATTGGTGCACAAGGCGCTCCGGTGATCTCAAGCCTAAGGATCACATGTACCACCATCCGTTAGGAGATTTATTCCATAGATACTAGGGTTTCCATCTATATAGAATCCTCCGGTGGGTGTGTCTAGTGAACTTGCCTCTAGCAAGCACCTATGCCTTACACCAAGTTGTAGGCAAACAACCTTGACAAGTGAGACCAGTCACTGCCTTTCGATAGGGTCGTTTAACACTATGATAGCCTTACCGTATTATCTGTGTCCTTGATCAAAATAATACTGGGGCTACGGACGTTTCTAGAATGGCCACCAAATGTGATCATAGAGTTCTCACTATCAATATTTGAAACACTTGATACCCTCATCACGATTCTACCATCCTAAGGATATATATCATTGCATACACGATATAAAAGAATATATCTTTTATTGATAAATAAACATTTATTGCATTGTCAATTTTATAATAATTGACACCTACTCTAACAATCTCTCACTTGCATTATAGTTAATCATTCATGTATTTAATACCGAATAACCTTAAGTGCTTTTCATGCTTCTGCTGCAACAGAGGCTTCGTCAGTGGATTGGCGAGATTGTCATCAGTATGCACTTTACTGATTTATACATCTTTCTTTTCAACCATTTCTCTGATGAGATGAAAACATCTAAGTATGTGTCTGGACTTCTGGGGAGATTGTGGTTCCTTTGCTTGAGCAATTGCTCCATTGTTATCACAATAGACATCTATCGGATCAACAATCGTGGAAACCACACCAAGTTCGGTGACGAATTTCTTAATTTAGACTGTCTCCTTAGCCGCATCGAATAATGCAATATACTCAGCCTCCATTGTAGAGTCCGCTACAGTGCTTTACTTGGATCTCTTCTAGCTCACTGCACCCTCATTGAGACAAAATATAAACCCTGATTGCTATTGATAATCATCTTTATCCGTTTGGAAACTAGCATCAATGTATCCTCTTACAGTGAGCTCATCTTCCCCTCCATAAACCAACATGTCTTTAGTTCTCTTCAGGTACTTAAGGATGTTCTTAACAACTATCCAGTGACGCTCGCCTGGATCCGATTGATATCTACTACAAGTGCTTAATACACATGAGACATCAATATGAGTACATAACATGGCACACATGATGGATCCAATTGCTTACGTATATGGGACCCTCTTCATTGTATCTCTCTCATTGTGTATTTTAGGACACATATCCTTAGAGAGATAGACACCATGTGACATCAGAAGAAATCCCTTCTTGGATTCTTCCATACTGAATCTCTTCAGTACCTTGTCAATGTATATAGTCTAACTTAGGCTAAGCAACCTACGTGATCTATCTCGGTATATCTTTATTCTGAGGATGTAGGCTGCTTCTCTGAAGTCTTTTATGGAGAAGCACTTGGATAACCAAGTCTTTACCGACTACAAGTTCGGTATATCATTCCCGATCAGAAGTATGTCGTTGACATACAACACTAGGAATGTCACTGCGCTTCTACTCACTTTCTTGTAAACACAGGGCTCATATTCATTCTTGATAAAACCGAATTCTTTTAAGCTTCATCAAAACGAATGTTCCAGCTCCTTGAAGTTTGCTTGAGTCCATAAATGGATCTCTACAACTTGCATACCTTCTGAGCTTGCCCATCAAGAACGAAACCATCGAGTTGTGTCATATACACATCCTCTTCAAGGTTTACGTTCAGGAAAGCAGTTTTGACATCCCTTTGCCAAATCTCATAATCATGATATGTAGCAATAGCAAGCATAATCCGGATGGATTTAATCATGACAACTGGCGAAAAGGTTTCCTATAGTCAATACCATGAATTTGCTTGAAACCTTTGGCAACCAGTCATGATTTATAAGTGTGCACCTTGCCATCCATGTCAGTCTTCTTCTTGAAGACCCATTTACACCCTATGGCCCCTT